ATTAGAAATGTTAACAATTAAATTTTTATAATAATTATTATTCTAATGTAGATTATATTTTTTAACTGTAGTTATCATAAGATAAGAATGAAAATATTATAATAATATATTATTATTAATCTAATCACTTTTTCTTGTGTTCTTACACTTAACTAAAATTGGACATTTGATTCTGTTTGATTGGAAATTAATGATCATATTTTTGTTCTTAACTTTTTAAATAATTCATATTGATTATGTTATTATTTTATTATCCTTTTCATAATTTTGATTAAGTAAATTCCCCAAAAATATTTTATAACCTCACCTTCAGCATTTTTTAAATGAAAAAAATCCTGTGTTGATAATTTGAGTAAAATAGAAAATGCTACATCTATCTCCAATATTAAATTGCCATCAATTTATTCATCTTTATAATCATATTATTCAGAATAGATGAGCCATTATGAATCTATTATTTATATAAATGTAAGTAGAATATCTAGTTATAAAGAATAACTTACATTTTTTTAATTTAAATAAAATTCTTTCACATCATCCCGTCATTCTAGTTACCTACTTGTCTATCTACATAGGTTTCTTAATATAAGGTAAACTGTTAGACCATTTTTAACAGGAGGTTAATGATACATCTTCTTTACAGAAGCAATGTAAACTATTTTTTGTTTTAAATTTGTTTAGACAGTTCATTGTAAAATTAAGAGTTCTAAAATCCAAAGAAATGTGAGCACAAATTCTAGTCGTCTTTTAATAATTTATCTTAGTTTTGTTGTATCTATATCTTGAGTTCCTTTGAGCACTTTTGATTTCATTATTATTTAAAAATTGAATTTACACGCATTGATTGTATATATAGCTAAATCTGGATTACCAAAGGGATTAAAATTATTTTATTATCAATTATATATTTAATTGATTTTCTGTCTAAATCAATCAACATTATTTAATAATTACTGACATCAATCAAATAATTTATAATATTTTTAATAAAACTTAGATACAGTTTATTTATTGAGATAAAGCTAATATTCTTATTGAAAATCTCTGGTGACATCATCAAATCCACCTGCAATACAAAAATCACTTCTGCTAATATAATCTAAAAAACTAATAGCAACAGATGTTTTCATTTTACTGAAGAAAGCAAATAAAATTTATTTTTGAAATCAAACTCAGATTGACCAGAATCTCTTATGGAAATATCGATTTTTAATATAAAAAATCCCATGTTATATTTTTTTTTTGTTGAATTAATATTTAAATTTTTCCTTAAAGGGCAAGAGATTTTTAATGGTTGGATGCCATTTTATGGAGTTTAATAAAAAATGGCCTTTAATATGATAATCTGAAAAAGATTTTAATCAAATCTTAATTTTATTCTCGTTTCCATCAATACGCTGACCAATAAGATTGATTTTGGCTACTCAAAATAAGATGAGGTTATATATGCCCTTCACCAAATACAATGAATAATAGAAAAAGGATTCTGATTTTTATTTATATTGGCAGTGAATTTAATTCATTATTTGATTTAAATTCATTTCAATTTATAAAGATGTCAATAACGAATACATATATATTCTAATTTGGAAACGCTTTAAAAAAGAATAAAAGATTTTTCTAATATATATTGAAATATTTGTTGAAAAAAAATATCATTAATGAAAAAGTCTTTTATTAATATTTCTTACATCAAATTAAGTTGAATCAATAGCTTAATCTTTGAATTAAAATTTCTTATTCTATGATATAATAAATAAGAGATAATCTATTTTATGAATTTAAAAGTTCAACAATATTATTAAGATCTACTTTACTTAATGTTTGCCAAGTTATTTATATGAACATATTATGATATTCTAAATCATCATTTCTAATTAAGATTTGAATTAAATTTATACAATTTATGGTCTCAAATAGTTTTAAAATTACTTCTCAAAAAAATCTTTCGATTAAAGTAATACTAATTATTATTTATTCGAAGTACTGCTTTAAGAAACATTAAATAATTTTAAAGCCTATTAAATTTACTTATCTCACTATTATAATAATTATCCTAAATTTGTGTATTATATAACTTTTTCAGGAACAATTTCAAGATAAGCTAATTTATTTTAAATACTTTTTTATTAAGATATATCAACAAAACTATTTCTTGTTCATGTTTATCACATTTCCAATCTGTTTTTAACTATGTCTATTAATCAATAACAGATCCTATATCAAATAATTTATACAATGTTACACTCTATTTACCAAAATTTAAACCTGATACTAATTGTTAACACTTTTACTACAATTGACTATTGAATAGATTACCTAATTAAATTAAAAGAGATTATAAATTTCTTTTAATTAATATGTCAATCTATTATTAAATTTCTATTTAAATTGATATGTTCTATTTCATCGAATTACTATAATCTTCATTACAGCCTCTATATTTTTCCTTAATTTTATCAATAAACACATCGAAGTTCAGTGCCAGTCTTTCCAGGTTTTCTTTTATGTCATTTAAAATTCCTACATTCTATTTGTTAAATGATTCTCTTTTTTCTATTATTCCAGACTTTCTTTCTTAAAGGTATATTTTGGCATCATCTATTAATATTAAATCTTACCTTTTTTCAACAACATATTTAAGACAAAGTTAAATTATCTATTAATCTAAAATAGATATTTCAAGAAAAACTACTACTTCATTAATAATATATTAATAATAATGATAATCACAAAAATTATTCCCATTTTTAAACTAATATACTAATTTTATAAAATTTGATTAGTACCAGATTATGATTTTACATATTCTTCCTAACAGTTAGATCAAAAAATTGAATCATTATAATGAAATGAAATTCATTAGAAATTTGATTGTTTGACAAAAAAATTAATACTAAATAATGAAACTGAAAATAAAATGAAATAATGATATTTAAAAATGTATATATTTCCTATTTATTTATTAAATCAATTACTAAATATCTTAAATTTAATTAAATACAAACAAAATAAAACAACTTTTTTAGTATTAAAAGAGGAATGAGTAATTATGATTCTTAAATACAACATGCCCAATGATAAAAGGAGATTTTACAATAGTTTAATAATTAGTTGTATTATTTATCTATGATTATTTGATTCGTTAATAAATAAATTCAGTAATCTAATTTTTCTTTATTATTAGACTTACTTATTTTATAAGATCAGAATTTTCAAATTATTTATAACAAAAATAATTATTTATAGTTCTCTCGCTATATTTAATTTGATTAAATTTTATATTTAATTCATAATATGGTTGATTTGATCAATAATATATGAAAGGAAAAACAATTAAAAGATCAAAAATCCTTAATCTTACAAGACACAGTCCAAAACTATAATTTTTCTGTTTAGTTATATATTAGTTTAATTCATTTCATTTTAGAGTTTCAAATTTCAAAATTAATGAGTCATGAAATTAATCAAATATAAAATAATATCTGTAAGGTTAATTCACATTATTTTATTTAAATCATAAAAATACAGGTTAGAATTCTTTCATACTAATGTTATTAAAGGGTTTCTAACTCTTTCTTGATTTTTTTTACAATGTCTGGGCAAACTTGCCTCAGATCAGAACCTTGGTTTGATTAGAAATAGGGCTGGAGGGGAATTTTTAACTCCAAACCACCAGATCCAGCTACAGTTATAGATGGAAAAATTATTGGAAGCCTCTTCGACCTCGATATTTAGAAACTTTGGTAGGTAAAACTTCCCCCTGAATATTTGTGCAATTAATTTTAACTTTGAAAATCTAAATAACATTATTTTTGGAAATTAAATAATATTCTTCGTGTAATTACTTGCATTACTGAAAAATAAGTTCTGAAATTTAATTTCCATTTCAATCATCATTTGATAATGTTAATAATAAATCATTTTTTTGACTTATTAACCATAATAATAAGATACTTTAAATCATAATTACTTTATTAAAATGCATAAAATAATTTTATAATCATTTGTATTCATATAAAAAGGCTATTAGTCATGAGCAAATAAAATATTTAAATTTTGACCCACTTATTCAGAATAAATATACAAATAAAAAGAATTTATTTTAAATCAATTTTATACTAAAAACTCAAAATTATTTATAATGAATTATTGATTATTTTATAACTTGTAAATATATATATAATTTTGTTACAAAAGCACTAATTAATTAATCTCTAAACAAAATTTAATAACTATCGAAATATCAGTATATATAAATAAATAAGAAACATGAAATGAGTTGAGATGAATTATACAATCATAAGCTATCTATTCTTATACTAAAAAATTATATTATTTTAATTCTATCAAAAGATTTACTAGAAATTTGTAAAATAAAGCAACAAACTTTTATTTATAATCTAATAATTATTATAATGAATCCAGAGTATCAAAGAATAAAATTTATATTTTCTAGTTTGGATAAATTTATCATTATGGTATTTCTACAATAAAAACTAGGATTTTAACAAAAAGATTGCTTTATAAGATTTGAAAAATACCTTTACAAATGTTTTAAAGATAGATTTATTTTCAAAATAACCTCAGTTTTTTATTTCTAAAGGCTTTCATTCTATTTAATTAAACTCTCATCAAAGTTTAAATGGCCAAACTATATAGAATTTTAATGAAAAGGATTAGAATCCCCTAGAGATTAATGTAAAATTTCATGAACAAGGAGCATGATAGAATTCTCTATTGATTATCTAGGACTCAATATTTATTGAATTAAATCAATATATCCTATATATATCTCAATAAAAAATTTTATTTCATAGACTATCACTTTATTAATATAAGTACTATCTTTTAATGTCTTACATGATAATAGTCTTATTCATAATTTAATATAATCTATAATGATTTCAACATATTCTATCAAAGATAATTCATTCCAATATTTTAAAAATCAAGTAAACTACAATAATATAAATCATGAATGGAATTTTAATTAACTTAAATAAGCTGAAAGTTTATAGAACTTAAATAACGATTAAAATAATTAGATAAAGATAAATGCAAATAATAATATCGGGGTAATTCTATTATACTTTTATTAACAAGATATTAATATGCCAACTGCATTATTATTTGCATGTAAATGTATAATTTTTTTTAATTCAACTATAAAATTATTATAAGTGAGTTATATATACAATACTTTAATTCATTCCTGATCTGACTGTTCGATAAAAAATCCTACTTTCATTTTTTCAATCTAATATTATAATATCAATTTAACAAATTTATAATGACTTATCCTACCATAATTAGAATCACAGCAGCTAGATTCATAAAAACTTATGAAAATGTTCTATTATCCAAATTCTATTATTAAACGTATGTTAGAATGGCTCCATTGTCCTTTGCTATATTAATTATTCTGATATTTTAATCAATCTTTTTATGCATTTCTGTATAATAAACTAATCTTTAAAAACCGATTTGGCTAATTAAGGCAAATAGTTTATGATTTCGCTTAATCAGAATAAATAAATATATAATGATATGCAAAAACATTAAATAAAGGAAAAGAAAATCATTAAATTAACTTTAAAATTTACTCTCTGAAGGTATATTTTGAAGTGCTGGTTAATCAGTTTAGATTTATAATGAATTTGCATGATTTTATTCAAATGATTTTGAAAATATATAAACAACCTAAATATCTCTTGATCTCTTTGATAAACATATAATTTTTGATAATTAATTATTTATTATTACGAATAATCTAATTTGGTTATATTAAAATTTCTAATTAAGATATATGTATTTATTATTATTGTAAGAATTTATATAAAATTCAAGCACCATACTGCTTCTATTTTAACTTAAAGAGATTTAATAGTTTTACAATAAGTTCATTAGATATTTGCTCAAATAATAGAAAAAAGGAAAAAAATAAATACGACTAAAAAACTTTGATAATTCTATTAATCCTTATGATGTCTGAAACCTATCTATCAACAAATAACAATATATTTTGTTTTTGGAAATTGAAAATCTACAAATAAATACATAATATTAGTAGAATAATTTAGTATATTCAATTTCATGATATCTATATTTTAGTATCAGACCTTAAGATATACTTCTACACATAGCCATCAACAAAAAAAAATGAATTCATTTGAAATTTTTAGTCATAATATAGCAACAAAAACAGAAACTTATTTTTTATAACTTTATCAAATATGAAATTTAAACCCTGCATATTTGTTTATTATAGATCAATATTAGGTTCTCTATAGAAATCTCTTATCTCCTGATTATCTATAAGAATTCTTTACGACAAATTTCCAACCGTATTAAAAATTAGATTTCCATACTTAGATCATGATACTATATTTAACCACTGGATTTATGAATAAAATATCATGGAAGGATGAAGTATTATCAAATGAAATAATTCTTTTGACGCACTTTTCTAATATCCAAAATATGTTTCTATCTTATTTGTTAAACATTATTTAAATAATTACTCAAATTGTGATTTCTTTTCTGATTTATTCAAAATTATCTCACTGCTCAAATAATTCAACATATTAAACTTTATCATAATTTTTCTAACTTATTTTTTTATCTTAAATAAAATGTGTAATGATAAATTAGGGATTTAATTAGATCTTTCAATAATTTTATGATATAAAATAAAGGCAAATTCAAATTATATTTTTTATACATTTTGTAAGAATAGACAATCAAATTTTAATTTTTAATACTTAATACTTAAATTGTTATAAGAAAATAAATATTGATTTTTTTTACATAGTTCTCAAAATTTCTCCCTTTATATGCAAGCTCTTAAAAATTCTTCAAATTGGTATATCAAGTTAACTTCACTTTATTTATTGATATGCTAATAAGAATAAGGGAAATTTAATGAAATTCTTGACTAATTAACAGACCCTATTTTCTACGGAACTATAACTTAACCTAAGCCCAAAAAAGCTCTATAAAATTTAATTATGGAATATAAGGTGGTAGAAATAAATGATTACAGAGTTGTAATATTTTTTAGATTCTCTGTTTTAAGTTAATTGGAACTAGAAAGTTAAGGAAGCATTTAATTATTATTTTTCTTTTGTCTACATTTTGGTGCTTTTAAGTTTCTTCCAAATTTTGTCTCATCAATATTAATAACTGTAACATTCTATTTAAATAACTAGGTGATTTTTCTTAGCAAGCTCTAATCTATATTTTTTTGGTAGAGCTAAATTTGGATTAAGTTTTATATTTAATTGCTATAGTCATTTATATAAGCTTGAATATTGAACTCTAATGATTTAATATTTAAATCTTTTGTGTTATTCACTTAAGAAATATTACAACCTTTTAAAATGATTAAATTGATGGTAAACTATAAATTAACTATAATGTATGTAATAAATAAAAATACACACCTGTAAGATAAAATTAGAAAAGGTTAACGATGAACGAATATTGAAAATTTATCATAAGAGTGCTATGATAATTATTCGAAGCAAACTTTGTGAAAAAAATTATTTTTCTCAACTATATTAGATTTAAAATCTTGTATGTTTAATTCATGAATAATGAAATATATTTATATCTTTGCATTTTAATTGAGAATTATTTTAAAGTATTATAATGAAATTAATGTATGTTATAAATCCTTTTATAAATTTATGATTTTATTTTATCAACCAGATTGTTATAGAGTGAAAGAGAAGGGTTAGTAGAATAAATAAATTTATCAGTTGATTTATTGTTAAAAGGTTAAAATCTTTAATTTATATGATTAGATTTTAAGTTAGTAAGCAATTTTTAGATTTAAGTATTCAAGACTGTTTGTATGCTTAGTATAAATCACTATTTTATTAGATTAATTGATTATAAAGGAATACAATCGAAGCATAATTAAAACTTAAACTTAATTAGATAGAGTAAAATTTGAGTAAAATTTACAAAGAAGTATGAATCTATTCTCTTTGTACATTTCAATTGTATTTAATTCATGATTTTCGTTTTATTTATGTTGAAATGAAAAGATACTAACAATGATTCTTATATGTTTTAGTTTACCTATTAGTTTAATGGTTCTTTGAGCAATCTATTCAATTACTTTGATAAGTCAAAATTATCATCTAAAAATAACGAATTTTATAAGGAGCAGGCTGAAAGCAAATGAAAAATTATAATGAATTAAATAATTGTTAATATTGAAATGCTTATTTTTGATTATATTAAAAACTTAATAGAAATATAAATATATTAATTAATATTGAGTAATATATAAAATAATTAATTTTTATAAGAAATATTAATAATATAGACATTAATAGATAAGATTGATGAAGAATAATAAAGAAAATACTAAAATAATCAAATATTTAATAAAACATTCTTATATTTACTCAATAGAATCTTAATACATTCAATTATCAATTAATTTAAGAAAACTAAATTATATAAGATCAAAATTGTGATGCAATTGCGGTTAATAAAGATTGTTCTGGGCAAGAAATCAAAATAATTCATTGTTTTGTTAATAGAAATTGAATGGACATACAGGTGTAATATGGTGTTTTGAATTAAACGATAATGAAGATCTTCTTGCATCAGGTGGAAATGATAAAACAATTAAATTGTGGTACAAATAAAATTAATGTTTGTTTTCATAGACAGCAAGTCATACTAAAAGGGTTTTAGGATTAAGTTTTAATGAACAATAAAATAGATTAATATCTTGTGGATATGATTAATAGATATTAGTAATTGAACAATCAGAATGAAATAAATAATGGAATGTAATATAAAAGATTAAATTTTAAGACGAATTCGGTCTTGGATTATGCTTTATTAATAATAATACATTCATATTATATCCTTGGGGAGAAGAAATCCTTCTGGTAAATAATATTCAAATACAAAAGATATTCCATTAAAATTCAAAGTGGATCTGATTGGACATAATATCCTTAATAATACATAAAATCTAAATGTATTATTGTGAATAAGAATGCTTCAAATGTGAATTTAATAAGGAAGTAATAAAATTATGAATTTATAATTGAGTAATCTATTTAATATAAAAAAAATAAGATTTTTGGATGTATGAATGATGATGGACAGTATCTGATCACTTGGGATAAACAATCAAAAGAATATCAGGAATTATGATTTATTTTATTATTTAGATAATAAACAAAAATATCTATTTCAAATCTTTGATTTTCAAATTCATATATCAATTTGAAATGATTCTTTTTTCTCAAATTTTTAAATCAAATCCTTTTTAAAAGCTTTTATAATGATTAGAATCTAATTTTTAGACTACTATCAAATTGAAAATATAGATTTTAATAATATTAATAATTACCAAAATATTATTTATTTGATAAGTTGAATAAATAAATTTCTTTTCTCTTTATTACTACAAACTTAATTTTATTTTATATTAAATAATATATAGTTCTTTAAGCTATAAAATGATTAATATTGACATTTCAATTCCTAGAATATAAAAAGATTATTAGGAACTCTCCATGTAATTTTACAATCAGAAAGAGTATTTCATTCATCTAATATTCCAAAAAGATAAATTTTTTCTTATTGCTATTCTTAGAATCATAAGAAGATTTCAAAGTTGTTGATAAATGAATTTAATATTTGATAAGAGAATATTATTTTTTACCCTTATAAATATACTTGAATTGATTGGATTATTTTTATTTATTTATTTATATTTTACATTTAATGTTGCTGTCGACAGATTTATTCTTCACAAGAGGTCAACACGAGCTAAAGGAACAATTATGGCCGAGTCCAATTTTCCAGGTGTAAAGTTTAGAACAGAAGGGACATATGCATAGAATCTTACTCCATTTTGGCTCTATATAATTCAAGTTGTATGAGATGATGAATATGAATCTGCAAAATTTCTTGATGAATATATCTTGTTCTACTAAGGATCTTAAATCCATTATTCATAAAGAGTTGTCTAATTGCCTTGTTATTAATGATAATGATTGTTAGGTATCATTTGATCCTTTATTTAGGTATTCTCTAAATTGGCTTTCTGCTAAGAATCAATACAGTCTTCGCTCCCAGATAATTCATACTTAAATACTACTTCATCCTCACTATACTACAAGTCATATAGTTTCCATCGTTTTTGCCCTATGGATGAAGTATTATGGATTAACCATTATCTTAATTGGTTATCCATTAGTTGCCTGCATCCTTAAATATATTATTTAATTCCAGAAGTGGCGCTTTAAACGATTACTACTTGTTATTTAAACATTTATTCTCTTAAAAAATTAAGATATGTTGTTAGGATTCGAAGTTTGGTTAGGAGATCATTGTATGGTTTGATTAAATCGATTTCTCCTTTCTTTATAAAGGATTGAAATAGTCTCTTCCCTAGTCCTTTTTATCTTTATTTAGATCTTATTTTTGCTGACTTGCAATTCTTTACCAATGAGTCTAAAAAGAGTTGAGGTCAGCTAAAATAATCTGTGTTTGCTTTCTTTCAAATGTATCAAGTCCTCCTTCATCGCCTTCTTGAATGATCTCTTAAAGTTCATTGTCACTTAGTTTATCATTATTAAAGCAGATCCAATTTCTTTTTCTATTTGTTTACAGGTACTTCTTCGGGGTTATCCTCAATAATAATAACTTCTGATTATTGGAGTTAAATAAATTGAGGTAGGGCCTTTTCTATTCTATCTTTAATTCATTATTGGAGCTGATCGATGATTCAACATCTTCTACACAATCTCTTTAATATTTTTAAAAACATATCCCAATTAGCTTTGACTATGTTGATGTTGTTGTTCTCTTCTTTATAGTAGCAGTCCAGTAATTGTTCTTAGGTTTTGTTGAGGTCGATAAAGTGTAGATTCTTATCTCAGTCAAGCATAACATGGTATCTATTGGTATCAGAGTTTGGATTAGCTCTATGAATCACAGAGGGCTTTGCCGATGGGAAG